ATCCCCGCCTCTTTGACCTGTCTGTCTCCTCTCCACCTATCTTCTCCTTTATCCATCTTCTCCTCTATCCATCTTCTATCCGCCTTCCCCCCCCTCCCTATTTATTTCAGAACCCCCTTCCCCTCCCCCATTTCTGAAGAAAGTTCTAGGCCCGAATATTCAGCTTTCCTGATCGTCTGATGCTGCTTGGCCTGCTGTGTTCATCTAGCTCTACACCTTGTTATCCCTCTTATCCTTCCTATGCATGTATCTATCCAAATTTCTTTTAAATGTTGTAACTGTAGCTGCATCTCCCACTTCCTCTGGCAGTTCATTCCACATGCACACCACCCTCTGTGTGAAAAGGTTGCCCCTCAGGTTCATTTTAAATCTTTCTCCTCTCACCTTAAAAATACGCCCCCTAGTTTTGAACTCACCCCCCCCCCAGGGAAAAGACCTTTGCTACTCACCTTATCTACACCCGGCATGATTTTATACATCTCTATAAGGTAACCCCTCAGCTTCCTACGCTCCAATGAAAAAAGTCCTAGTCTATCCAGCCTCTCCTTATAACTCAAATCTTCCAGTCCCTGCAACATCCTGGTAAATCCTTTCTGGACCCTCTCCAATTTAATAATATCCTTCCTATAGCACAGCGAACAGAACTGTACACAGTACTCCAAAAGTGGCCTCACCAATGTCCCGTACAACCTCAACATGACATCCCAACTCTTATACTCAGTGGCCTGAGAAATGAAGCCAAACATGCGAAACACCTTAACCACCCTGTCTCTACCTGTGATGCAACCTTCAAAGAACTATGTACCTAAACCCTTAGGTCTCTCTACTCAACAACACTCCCCAGGGCCTTACCATTAACTGCAAAAGTCCTGCTTTTGTTTCTTTTACCCAAATGCAATACCTCACATTTATCCAAATTAAACTCCATCTGCCACTCCTCAACCCATTGGCCCAATTGATCAAGATCCCTTTGTAATCTTAGATAACCTTCTTCACTGTCAACTATATTCTAGATGGAAGTGGTGGTGAATTTGGAAGGTGCAGTCTAAGGGTCTTTAAATTTCTGCAGTACATCTTGTAGATGGTATACACTGGTGCGACTGAGCATTGGTAGTGACAAGCTGTGTTGCTGAAGCTGTACTCATCCAGGCAAGTGGGGAGTATTTCATCACACTCTTGACTTTGTCTTATAAATGATGGACAGGCTTTGGGAAGTCAGGAGGTGAATATTTGTAGCGTCTGATCTGATCTTTTAGCCATTGAATTTTTTACATGGCAAGTCCAGTTGAGTTTCTGGTCAATTATTACCCAGTGGATGTTGGTAGTGGGGGGGGATTCCCTATTTTCTAATAAGTGCAGCTTGGCACCTTTCAGCAATTTGGAAGTGTTCCTGGTCGTTTAGGGGTGGACTGTCCCTTTAAAAGGCCAGGTGCCCCATTCAGTCACGAGATCAGGCACAGCCATTTATCACCTATCCCTCATTGCCCTCAAGGTGTTGGTCATGAACTGCCTTCTGGAATTGCTGCTGTACATGTGCTGTGGACAGACCCACAATGCTATCAGGGAGGAAGTTGCAGAATTTTAACCCAGTGAAAGAACAGTGACATATTTCCAAGTCAGGATAGCGAGTGGCTTGGAGGGGATTATATGCTGCTCTTCTCTACATTGGGGAAACCAAGCAGAGGCTTGGGGACCGTTTTGCAGAACACCTACGCTCGGTTCGCACTAAACAACTGCACCTCTCAGTCGCGAACCATTTCAACTCCCCCTCCCATTCCTCAGACAACATGTCCATCCTGGGCCTCCTGCAGTGCCACAACGATGCCACCCGAAGGTTGCAGGAACAGCAACTCATATTCCGCTTGCGAACCCTGCAGCCCAATGGTATCAATGTGGATTTCACAAGCTTCAAAATCACTCCTCCCCCTACCGCATCCCAAAACCAGCCCAGCTCGTCCCCACCTCCCTAACCTGTCCTTCCTCCCACCTATCCCCTCCTCCCACCTCAAGCCCCATCCCCATCTCCTACCTACTAGCCTCATCCCGCCCCCTTGACCTGTCCGTCCTCCCTGGACTGACCTATCTCCTCCCTACCTCCCCACCCACACTCACCTTTACTGGCTCCATCCCTGCCTCTTTGACCTGTCTGTCTCCTCTCCACCTATCTTCTCCTCTATCCATCTTCTATCCGCCTCCCCCTCTCTCCCTATTTATTTCAGAACCCCCTTCCCTTACCCCATTTCTGAAGAAGGGTCTAGGCCCGAAATGTCAGCCTTCCTGCTCCTATGCTGCTGCTGCTTGGCCTGCTGTGTTCATCCAGCTCGACACCGTGTTATCCCATGTATCCTTTTTTGTTGGACTGAACACATACTGTGTAGGAAGCTCTCCTGCATGTAATCCAGGAACACTCGCCCCTCATTAGCTCCCACACTATGAGTATCCCAGTCTATAATTGGGTAATTGAAATCTCGCATTATAACTACTCTAAAATTCTGGCATCTCTCTTGTATTTTCCTGCAGATTTGTTCCTCTACATCCTTTCCATTGATTAGAGGCTCTATAGAGTATACCTATGCAATGTAATTGTACCCTTTTGTTCCTTAGCTCAAGCTAAATTGATTGTATCCTGAGATCCTCTGAGACATCCTCTTTCTCCAGCACTGCCATTACTCCTTAAATATTACTGTCACCCCTCCTCCTTTCCTTCCTTTTTCTGAACACCTGGTACCCAGGAATACTTAACTCTGTCTTGCTGTTCCTTGAGCCAGTTCTCTGTTATTGCCATATCATACTTCTACATGGCAAGCTGTGTCTATAATTCCCGAATCCTATTTTCTATACTCCGTGCTTTCACATTCTCAGTAATTCTGGTTTAGACTTTATTTCTTTTTCCCCTTCTGTAACTTCACCTGTTAACTTTCTATTGGTTATGCTAGTGCTAGTTGCATCTCCACACATTTTGTGAACTATGATGTTCTTTACCATTTTCTCTTGGTTCCCGTACACCTGGGAAGTTAGTACTGTTGGGAGGGCCATAAACTAACAAAAAGCCCTGCAAGGAACTCAGTCCCGCCTCTGTTCAGGTGTAACCGCTGCTTTGTACAGGTGCTATCATCCCCAGAGTCAGTCCTAGTGTACCAGGAATCTAAAACCCTCTTTCCTGCACCAGATTTCCAGCCATGCATTTATCTGCTTGACCTCCCCATTTACGTACTCTCTTTTACATGGTTCTACATTTGAGATCCTGCTTACCAGCTTTCTACATAGCTCCCTAAATTCTGATTTCCCTAAATTCTGATTGCAGGACCACTCCCCCTTGTTACCTCAGTCATTGCCATCAACATGGCGCATGATCTAAGGCTGTTCACCCTCTCCTACAAAAATGTCCAGCAGCCACTCTCTGACAACTTTGACCATAGCACTGGGGGATAACATACCATTCTGGAATCATGCTGACAATCACAAAAATGCCTGTCAGCTCCTCTAACGAATTAATCTCCTATCGCAGTCACTCCTCCTTTCTTCTTCATCTCCACTTTACAACTGACTGTACTCCTTTGAGGAATCAGCACCCTCATCAGCTTCCAAAATGGAAAAAAAAACAAACAAACAATCTGTGAGTAGACCTCCAGGGGACTCCTGCAGAATCTACCCATTTCTTTGGGACTGTCTTGTGGTCACCCATTCCCTTCCTTTCTCTTGAGCTGCAGTGTGACCACCTCTCTGAATGCGTCATGTTGTCTCCAGTTGCCGGTCAAGCTTTGCAACTTGGAGTTTAGGTTTCATAATAAAACTAGGCAGGCATCATTACCCTCTCAACAGATTCCAGCTCACAGGTGTGTCTACACTGAGCTGTCCACACACATCTTCCTTCCAACAGGTACTAACAGCTCACACATAATATTTAATTATTAACTATTAAATCTACAGCCACTGTTAGAATAATAAAACCATAGAGCCCCTACAGTGCTGATAGAGGTCATTCGGCCCATCAAGTCTACACTGACCCTCCAAAGAGCATCTCACCCAGACTGTCCCCCTCACCATATCCATGTAAAGCTGTAGCTACCGTGGCTAATCCACCTAGCCTACGCAACCGTGGACACTACAGAACAATTTAGTATGGCCAATTCACACAACCTGCACATCTTTGGATTGTGGGAGGAAACCAGAGCACCCCAGCGGAAACCCATGCAGACACAGGGAGAATGTGCAAACTCCATACAGTCATCCAAGGCTGGAACAAACCCAGGTCCTAGTGCTGTGTGGCAGTAGTGCTAACCACTGAGCCACTGAGCCACTGTGCTCCCTGTTAACTGTTCTGTGAACTGAATTCGAACTATAGAAATGAAGCAGCACAGATGGGGGCATTTGGCCCATCTTGCTTATGCTGACCCAAAGATACCAAGATGCTCTTCCCAATCACAATAGGGGAGGTGAAGGCCTAGTCGTACTATCACTGGACTGTTATCCACAGATCCAGATAACGTTCTGGGGACCCGGGTTTGAATTCCACAACGGCAGGTGGAATTTGAATTCAATAAATATCTGGAATTAAGAATCTAATGGTGACTGTGAATCCATTTTCGATTGTCGGAACAACCCATCTGGTTCACTAATGACCTTTAAGGAAGGAAACTGCCATCTTTACCTGGTCTGGCCTTCATGTGACTCCAGACCCACAGCAATGTGGTCGACTCTGAACTGCCCTCTGGGCAATTAGGGATGGGCAATAAATGCTGCCTAGCCAGTGACGCCCCTCATCCTGTGAATAAATAAATGAATTTAAAAAATGGATCTTCCTGCATACGGCCCACAGTCCTGCAGCTTACAGCACTTAGGTGCAGATCCAGGTACTTTTTGAAAGATTTTAGGGTCTTTGCCTCCACCACCAACTCAGGCAGCAAAATCCTGACACCCACCACCCTCTGTAAATACGATTTTCCTCATGTCCCGTCCAATCCTTCTGCCACTTAGCTTGAATCTATGACCCTTAGTTTTCAACTCTGCCAAGAGAAACAGGTTTCTCCTGTCTACTCTTATCTCTATCCCTCACAATTTTGCATACCTTAATAACGTAGACCCTCAGTCTTCTCTGTTCCAAGAAAAACAACCCCAACCATTCCAATCTCTCCTCAGAGCTACAATTCTCCAGCCCTGACAACATTCTAGTAAATCTTCTCTGCACTCTCTCCAGAGCAATTATGTCCTTCCCGTAATACGGTGACCAGAACTGCACACAATACCCCAGTTGCAGCCTCACCAGTGTCTTATACAGTTTCGTCATTACAACCCTACTTTTATATTCTGTACCTCTGCCAATGATAGACAGCATTCCGTATACCTTCTCTCCAACCTGCCTAATTATCCTCCTCCTTCCATAGTCGTCCTTATTTCTAAATCGAGCTATACAAAAATCAAAATAAAAACTTTCTTTTCATCTTAAAGATTAAAACATTCAGAAAAACTAGCATTCCTGTGACTAGTGGATTACAGCAATCAAGAAGGCAGTTAACATTATCAAGGGCAAATAGAGATGGGTAATAAATGCTGACTTAGCCAGCCATTCCCACATCATGTTTATACAAAGGTCAATTGTGTTATTTTAATTGTCTCCATTATCCTAAACATAAATTGATGAAATTGAGCAGCGTTCCCTTATTGTCAGCTTCCCGGTGTGATGAAGCTTTCTTTTCAGATTTCGGATTGTCTTGAATTTATTTTGGTTGCAAGTGTAATGACTGAGACAAACTTCAAAATTCATACATTTGAGGGCGAGAGAAGGGTAAAAATTATTTTCCAATTCAACAATAAAATGCATCTCAATGTTACTTTGACTGTCAAGAAAATATAATCAAGTTTTTAAGTTTTCTCTGATCTGTGTGTGGAATTTTTAAAAAATTATTACAACACAGTTGACCTCTTTATAAGCATAATGATGCTAACACAAAATTCATTGGGCACATTTTTGAATTTTTTGTATCATAATATAAATGTGAAACTATTAGCTGTCAGTTGAACTGCAAGAAGAAACAATAACAAACTACAATCTGCAAAAAATACTTGGAAGACAGCAGAATTACAAAAGATATTGAGCATAATTTGTTCTCTAGTTTCCGCTCAAAGGGTGTCAATTATGGCTTCAAGAGTTTAGAGTTTGAATTATGCAAAATAATGCACTTTGTGAATGAAACACTTAGGTATACCTTTTGAAAAATCTTGGCTTGGAGATCAGAGGGTAGCTGGGAATATATTGGTAACACAGCAAGTTGTGGAGCATTTTCCAACTCTTCTAGTCGTTCCACTATCTGATCACAAGTCACCTAGATGGCAAGGACACATTTTAATTATAAAATATTAATTCTGAACATGAACAAAATAGTCCTCAAATTCATTATTCCAACATCAACAATTTAATCCACAGTAAATTCGCATCTTAATTGTTCATATAATTGCAAACAGAATTTCTGGAAGGAAGTTACAAAAATCCAATTTAACAAGCATGAAATTTTACGTTCACCTCAGTCTACCATTTAAGAAATAATAAATGACCTACTTTGCTGTTTGTATTGCTTGATGACCGAAGCAAATTAAGCTTTGGGCATGCATAATTGGATCCATGCAGAGTTCCAATGTCAAACAGTAATTTATTTTAAAAAAACAGCATTGGCTGTTCACTAACATGAAATACTAACTAAAACGAAGTTGAAATAGAATCCATTATTCTCAATCAGAAAATAAACTTCCTACTCCATATGTTGCATAGGCCTGAATTGGCTGCTACTATGACAACTCTACGCAGGGATTCCTTAACCTTTTTCCTCTGCAGTGAATTTATGCAGTGTAAAGCTGTTAGTAGTTTGTCCAGTTGAAGTTCGGTTAGCTCAGTTCGCTGGACAACCAGTTTGTGATGTACAATAATGCCAACAGCGTGGCTTCAATTTATGCACTGGCCACAGTTATCATGAACGACTCTCCTTTTCAACCTCTTCCCCTCACCTGAGGTGTGGTGACCTTCAGGTTAAGTCGTCTCTCTCTAAAGAGAGAGCAGCCTTATGGTCCAGTAGGATTAGGGCAACTTCACTTTTTACTTGGTTTTTCTTGTCATGTATGTACCAGGTATTGCTCCAAAACCAAACTCTTCTACTCTCCTAGCGAAGAAATACCATATCTGCAGTGAAATTCTCAAAAGCAAGCACTGTTTTTCTTAACACAATTTACAAAGTACACTCCCATTCAACTCATCTTTAATAAGAAGTGAGAGAGATATGGAATTAATTATCACAATTGTAAAATTATCTTCTGTTTTTCAAAATCCATCCATGAACTCATCCCCTCCCTATCTCTGTAACACTCTTGAAGATCTGTGTGCTCCTCCAAGTTTAGCATTTTTCTTCAATCTCAATTTCATTGCTCCACCCAATCTGTTATTATGGTACAGATGAGCACTGGGACAAATGAGCTGGTCAGAATGTACCACTACAGAATTGTTAAAAAGTACATCACATCCAAGAAACCCAGACAAAGCTTTTGAGAAGACAACCAAAGTAGCAGATAAGGAAATATTTGCCTGGGTTTGCGGAGGTATTTGACAAGATTCCAAAGAAGTGGCTGTTAACAAAACAAGAGTACGTGGAACTGGAGGCAACCTATGTGTTTGGGCAGCAATTTAGATATAAGGTAGGAGACAAAGAGTAAAATTAATGTATTTGCACCTCAAATTGTCAGAATGTAATTACTGGTCTCCTTCATCGCTATATACCAGGGTGCCTCTGTATTTATAAATGACATGATAAAGGAATGTAGCTCAATATATTTCTAAGGATTCTTATAAGATTAGAATCAGTGCATCCACTTTCTCAGCACCTGCTTCTTTTACCTTGGATGCATCCGATCAGTTTCAGGAATCTTAATCAGTCCTTAGCCCCATTTGTTTCCCTAGTATTTTTTTCTCTAATGATAGTTAATTTATTCATTTCCACTCCCCTTTTTTGCCCCTTCAATGTTTTGTACTTTTGGACTTCTAAAAGCATCTTCTACCATGAAAACTGGTGAAAAGTACTTATTCAACTGCTCCACCATTCCTGGAACACCATTATTATTTCCCTGCCTCATCAATCACTTATCCTCTACCTAGATTCCTTCTTTCTAACAGTATATCTTTGTTGTGAGCCAGGAATTACATTCTTAAACATCTGCCATTGTGCCTCAACTGTCTCTGATTCTAAACTCTTTTTCCAGTCCACTCCAGCCAGCTCCACTTTCACTCTTTTGTTTCCAACCCAACCTTCACCCTCTCAAACTGAATGCTAAATTCTACCATATGGTTGTCATTATTTTGCAGGGGATCTTTTACTTTGACATTATTTAATAAAACTGCCTCATTACAATCGCCAGATCCAAAATATGCTGGTTGAATCAACAACACATTGTCTGGAAAACTGTCCCGATTACACTCTAATGAATTCTTCCTTGTGGCTACCCTGGCCAACCTGATTTTTCCAAGCCTACATGAAGATTAAAGTTCTGCCTTTTTTTATATGCCTTCCTCATCTCCTGATTTATTCACAGTCCTTTCATATAGCTGCTGTTCAAGGGCTTATAGACCACTCCTGCCAGTATCTTCCTTTCCTTGTTATTTTGTACCTCCACCGGAATGGATTCTACATCTTCTGATCCAAGATCATTTCGTGCTAATGTACTAATTCCATTCTGTACTAATAAAGTTACCCCACCAAGCTTTCCTTCCTGCTTATTCTTTTGAGAACTCAAGCCCCTGAACATTTAGTTCCTTGGAACATATCTCTGTAATGGCTATGAGATCATACCCATTACCCCCTCTTTGTGCTTCGTGATATCACATGGAATGAATCGAATTGGCTGAAGACTGACATCTGTAATGCTGGGGGTCTCTGAAGGGTGCTGAGATGGACGATCCATTGGCACTACTGGGTGACAATGGGTCAGCAGAGGTATCTTTTGCAATGATGTGCTCAGCTTTCCCATGACTGAGGATGAGAATGGTTATGCAGCCTGTTTACCAGTGAGTTAATGAATTGTCCAATATCATTCATAACTGGATGTCTTGGAATCACTAAGTGCAGAAAAGGCCCTTCGGCCCATCGAAGCTGCACAAATAATACCTACCACTAAAGGCACACTCATCCCAATTTCCTACACTTGTCCCATATCCTTGAATGTTATGATAGTTCAAATGCTCATTCAAATTTTTTTAAGGTTTTAAGGGTTCCTGCCTCTAGTATATTCCCAGGCAGTGCATTCCACATTGCCACCACCTTCTGAGTGAAACCAGCTTTTCTTAAATCCCCTCTGAATCTCCTGCCCTTTACCCAAAACTATCTCCACCTCATGACTGACCCGTAAACCAAAGGGAACAGCTGCTCCCTACTCACCTTACCTATACCCCTCAATCTTATACACATGTCCTCCCTCAGCCATCTCTGTTCTTAAGAAGACAATTCAAGCCTATCTAGTCTCTCCTTATAACTTAATTGCTCTATCCCCAACAACAACCTGGTGAAACTCCGCTAGTGCTATCACATTCTTCCTGTACTGCGGTGACCAGAACTGCACACAGTACTCCAGCTGTGGTTTAACTAATGCTCTGTACAACTCCAACATTACCTTCTTGCTCTTATAGCAGGACTGCAGAGTTCAGATCTGATCCAGTGGATCCACTGGTTGTCAAATTGCTTAACCCTGTCTATCACTTGCTGCTAATGCTGTTTGGTATATACCTTATCCTATTTTGTAGCTTCACCATGTTGACACTTCATTTTTAGGCATGCCTACTGTTGCTCCTGGCATGCCCTCCTACGCTCTTCATAAAACTTTGGTTGATATCCTGGCTTGTTGGTAATGGTCGAGTGGAGGATATGCAAGGTCATGAAGCTGCAGATTTTGTTAGAGTGCAATTCGGCTGCTGATGGCCCACAGCACCTCATGGATGTTTAGGTTAAGTTGCTAGGTCCGCTCAACATCAATCCTATTTAGCATAGAGATCTGCCATGCAACAAAAATGGAGAGTATCCTCAATGTGAAGATGGATCTTTGTCTCTAGAAGGACTGTGCCATGATCAACCTTACTGATACTGTCATGGATCGATGCATCTGGAGCAGGCAGATTAGTGAGAATGAGATCCGAGTACACTTTTCCCTCATTGCCTGCTGTGGACCCAATCCAACGGCTTTGTCAATTTTGGACTTAACCACCTTGGCCAGTAGGGGACGTTGCTGAACCACTCGGGGATAGATATTGAGGTCATCCACCCAGAGTATATTCAGGATCCTTGATACCCTCGGTGTTTCTTCCAAGTGGTGTTCAACATGGAGAAGTACTGATTCATCAGTCAAGAGATGGCAGTATGAGATAAGCAGCAGGAACTATTCTTGTCCATGTCTGACCTGATGCCATGTGACGACACAGGGTCCAGTATCAATGATTAGGACTCCCAGGGCAACTTCCTCTTGACTGTATAACACTGTGCCATTCGCTCTGCTGGGTGTGTCCTGCTGCTGAGACTGGGCTTACCCAGAAATGGTGGTGAAGCTAGCCATTTCCGAGGGCAGTTGAGGGCCAACCACATTGCTGAGAGTCTGAAGTCACATGCAGACTAGATCAGTTCAGGATGAATGATTTCCTTTCCTAAAAATCTAGCGATAACAGTTGCAAAGATGGCCGAATGTCTAATGCCCACGTGAATTGTGAGATAGAAGCTGCAGGTGGCCAACACTCATGGCTGAAACATAAGCGTATGACTAGTTTCTTTTGTTAATTTTTCATTCTGCTCATGGAGTTCTTCTTCGGCAGCCTGTCAAGATCAAGGATAACTTGCTTCCACACAGATTCACTGGGTTATGAAATGGTTCTCAAGTCCAAACAGCACGTGCAGCTCCTGTAGCATGCAGGGCAGGTGGTGATTGAAGTGTTGGGTGGTTGACTTGTATGAAGATCTATGCATTACTTCTAATGCCTCAATTTTGTTTTGCAATGTTCCAAACAAAATTTCATGATGCAATTAGTGTATTCCAAAACGAACCTTCTCCATTTTAGGTGGGGATATCAGCCTGGTGAGCAGGCGAGGAGGACTGTTGGCAAATGGGTGTACCATGTGTTGGAATGAAAGAAAGAGGTTTTTTTGGGGGGTGGAAGTGGGTCAGCTCAGGATTTTTTTTTGAGTGGGGTATTTGCTAGTAAGCAGTGGGACGGAGAGGTGGCAGGTAAGCACTGGACAGAATGGCAGGAAATGAGAGAGTTAGGCAAGCTTATAAATGAACGGGGGGGGCGGAGTTGGGCAGACTTGCAGTGACGGGACAGCGGATGAGTAACAAACAGCAGTATTTCAGACAGCTGGCAATGCTGTTCCAAAATAGCACCAATTAATTAATGCATGGTGGTAAGCCAGCAAAGCAAAAATCTCATGCTAAGTGTGTTGTTATGCCTAAGAACATGCATGGATTTCACCCCTCGAAAGTATAACAAGTCAATCCTCTTTTTGCCTAAGAAAATTTGTCTCAAAGACTTTTACTTGTGTATATACGGTACCTTCATCAACAAGGCAAACATGTTGATTTGCTTATGTTCGATTAGAAATTAAGCCAGACTTCTAAAACATTAATCCAAATTGGCCTTACAGTCAACAGCTTTCCAGAATAGTTTCAGTGAAGGTCTTTGCTATGTACTGCCAGAACCAATTTACGGAAAATAATAGGGTATGACAATTGACTTTTTAAACAAAGGACTTATTTTCATTTGGTCATTTATTAAGTTTATTGAAAAGGAAAATTTCTCCACTGACTGGCAAATAAGTATGACAATAAGTCAGCATGTAATCCAGTCAATTTGACAACTAGTGAATGTTAGTCTGCCCAGACTATCTTTTCAGTTGTTTCTTCCAACTGATCCTGAAAGGCACTTACCATGATTAAAACAAAGCCCTTTTTGGTATCCCTCAGCACTTTAAGTTTATAAAAGTATGATGGTGAAAAGAGTACACTTTTTAAACTTTGATAATTCCATACTCACCTCAATGTCTTCCTGCCCCGGCATAAATATTAAGA